CTGTGAAGTGGCAATGGTCAGCAACTTTCTTTTTGGCTTCTACTCTATTGTCAAAAGTGCCATTGCATAAGAAACACTTTTTCGCTTCTAAATGTTTAATTTCATCTAAATCTGTCATATCAATATCTTTTGAATTTTTCATTTGTTCCATAACATCATCTCTAATATTGTTTAATGTTTCACAAAATTTATCAATACAATCTTCACCTCTATATAAAAATGGTTTCATTTCTCCACTATAAGCATTAACAAGGTTAAGCATATAACCGCTGGGTTTATGGTTCTGATAAGTCCCTTTGATGCCTTCTGATGTTTCTGTTGTTAAACATTCAAAATCACCGTAAATAACAAATGGCGCTTTCAGTTTCTTAAAATGCTTTTCAAACTTCATTGTTGTTCCTTCTTTTGGCATTTTGTTTGTTGAATGTCATTTGCCATACAACCTTTTATTAAGTGAGAATTTAAAAGTTTTTCTGATTGAAAACCGTGCTGACAGTAAATACAATGAAATATCTTTGTTTTGTGATTGTTGGTTTGACTACCCATTAATCTATTATAATCTTGTATTAAAACATAATGTTCGTTGTTGTTTTGTTCAATTCGTAACAAATTAATATGACAAGATGGTCTTTCAATTTTTGTTATTCTGTCTGCTCTGATGGTTTGGTTCTCATCTTCAACATAAACATTAACTGATATAGATTTGTTATTGATTTCTTCAAAATGGTCTATGTCATCATTGGATGCTGGAAAATTTACACCATCCCATTGAATTAGACTTTCAGTAGTTATTAATTTCTTGTAGTGTCTCATATGTTGTGGATGGTCTTTCTTGAAGACTTCATAAAATTTACATAAAACACAATATTTAAAACATAACTCATCTTCATTTTGAATGTTGATACATGCTTTTTTCTTTGAAATCCATTCTGGTAGTTCCATATATCTTCCTGCTCTGTTCGGATTGTATTTGTCGTAGTGGATGGTGATTTTGTTAATCTTATTAATCTTCAATCCTGAATGTTTCAAAGGTGAGTTTTCAATTTGTAGTTCAATATCTTTAGGTATATTTTCCAATGCTTTTTTCAAGTCTCCTACATTTAGAATGTTATATCTCCTGCTTCTCATATTGTGTTTTATTTGTATATTTTCCTCAGTTGGTTCATCATCCTCTTCTTGCTGTCTAAGTTTATCAAAAATAACCTCAACATCAATCAGTAGTTTTATTGATTTTGTTTGTTGTAAAAACTCTGTTAGTTTCTTTTCTTGCCATAAAAGATATGTTAATCCTTTGTATCCCTTGAATGGTATGTTGGATATTGAATATGTGTTGGCATATCCTTTCAATGCCGAAAATGTATCTGATGTTTTTGCTCCTATTTTTAATCTGTATTTCTGGATTGTTTTAATGCCTCTCATTGTGTTTGATGCTTTATTTAGAAGATTAAATCGTTTGAAACCTTGTGTGTTGCTGACTTGATTGAGTTTGTTTTGAAGTGATGAGGATAATGGTTTGTCTTTGTTGTAATAGTATTCTTTGTTGTTGATGATTAGTTTTTTCAATGGTTTGTTATTCTTCCCTGCTTTTATTTGACCTTCATTATTGGATAATAGATATTCAATTACTGAACCCGTGCTGTATTCCCCTGCCATTTCTCTATACTATATATGGTATTTTCTCTTTAAGTATATTTGGGGGGCGGGTTGCTGGTGGGTCTGGGATTGAGGTTATGGATGTTGTTGATGTGAGGGTTTAGGGAACAACCCGAAAAGAGTTTGGGAGGACACCCCAAAAACGAGTTTGAGGGACAACCCAAAAAAAGAGTTTGGGATCACACCCCAAAAACGAGTTTGAGGGACAACACAAAAAAACGAGTTTGGGATCACACCACAAAAACGAGTTTGAGGGACAACCCAAGAAAAGAGTTTGGGATCACACCCCAAAAACGAGTTTGGGATCACACCCCAAAAACGAGTTTGAGGGACAACACAAAAAAAACGAGTTTGGGTGAACACCTGAAAAATAAACACACTGAGAGCCCACCACCGAAGATGATGTCGCCGTCATCAACCTGGCACGAGCAATCAATAAAGATGACAAGATGTAAAAGGTCACAATGCTAAATAGACATTCACTGACGAAGGCTTCTCTTTTTCTCGCTTTTCGCTCGGTAGCATTCCTAACCTGAGAAGACAGATTTTCTGACATCTTTAGATGCGCCAATTTGATTTAATGTAAATGTCAAAAAGGTCAATGACTTCTGTCCTGTGGTATTGTCAATGACCCCAAAACTGACCTTTTAAATAGCAACAAAAACACTTCCACCCCATCACAGAAACCCGTGATACATTGCACTGAAACCCGTGATACCTTGCACGGAAACCCGTGATACCTTGCACGGAAACCCGTGATACCTTGCACGGAAACCCGTGATACCTTGCACTGAAACCCGTGTAACCCTGTCGTCTATGATGGGTTGGAAATGCCATTGCTCACATTATGAGGCAACGCCTTTGTTCAGCTTGTTCCTCATTAATTAATGGCGGTCTTTCAGACTGCTGTCTCAAATTCTTCCTATACTCAACTTTACCATCAAGCATACTGGTAAAAGCGTCAAGGTTGTAGGAAATAGAATTACCGCTCTCATCAAAGAAGCTGTTGGAAAATGATTGAACCCAAAGCTCAACCATCTCCTTTTTCAAAGATTTGATGCTTTGCATCCATTCATCAAGCTGTGTAAGCTCTGAAATGGCAATCTTTGAAGCTTCAAGGATTTTGTCCTCAACATAGCACTTGCGTTGACGCTTCTTATCAAATATTTGCTGAAGTGCTTGAAGTTGTTGGTCTGAAAGAGTGTCAAGAACTTCACCAACAACTGGCTGGTTGTCCATTATGCGTGTGCGGACATCATTCATCTTGTCCTTGATGTCAGCAACTGCCAAAGAGAGAGCTGGTGGTACTGCTTGAACATCACAATCATATTCAGCACGACGAGAGCGAATGATGGTCATTGAGTGCTTAGCAAGGTCACGCTTCTTCTGCTCCGTGCTTTTGAGGAAGTTGTTGATGATACGGCGTGGTGGCATTGTTGAAAGCACACAAGAGCACAACAACTACAACAACTCAAGACCTCTAAGCCGAAATGCTACTTTGAGACAAAACGTCATCAATTCAATACAATGACACAATGTTTTCAACTGACATCAAATGAGAAAGATACACGTCGTTTTTTTTACTGTCAAGATCTGGGTGATATCGTTGCCAAGGCAATAGCGGAAATGTCAGACAAGACAACCTCACTATGAAGCCATCAGACGAAAAGCAAAAGTGTATACATGTGTGTTGTTAATGACATAGGTTTCACCTGATGGTTGAGGGCATCTTTACACACTCATCACTTCTTAGATGAGCTGGATGCAGAAAAGACGAATGTTTGCGACTTCTTCTTCTCCTTCTTTGGGGGGACATCATCGGTGATCGTGATGGTTGCGTCCTTGCCGATGCCCCAAGTGCCGATGTTGCGCCTGCTGTGCTCGTTCAAAATGTGCTCGCCAAACTTGTAGGTCTTAGACTTCAAAGCGGTCATCGTCTTGAAGATGTGTCCGAGCTTGTTGCGAACCTCGTTGCGGATGTCGGAGATGGTGCTGGTCGCGTCAAGCTGGATGGGGTGCTTGTCAAAGGTTTTTCCATTGTAGGAGATGAAGACATTGAACTTCTCATCGGCTTTGGTCTTCGTTGGCTTTGGCTTCATCTCATCATACTTCTTCTTCACCGCTGTGTAGCGCTCCATCACCTTTGAAGCCTCCTCATTCACCTTGCCCCAAAGAGTCTCAATCTCCCCAAAGCTCATTTTTCCCATCTTCTCGCAAAACTCTTCCATTGTCTCATCCTCACTGCTATCATCGGACTCAACTGCCGGTGGTGGCAATGTGGTCTTTTCCTCATTCACATTGACAGCGGTCTCATCCTCACTGTCATCATCGGACTCAACTGTCGGTGGTGGCAATGCGGTCTTTTCCTCATTCACATAGCCAGCGGATGACTTGGACGCCATCACTATACAAAAGAAAGGGTCACAACAGTGAAGCTCACTGATGCTAAATGTCTGCAAAAACAAACAGTCGTTGGTTTCAAAAGCACATTGTGTGACAAATGATACACTGTCGCTTTCAGCAACAAACAGGTCAGGCGCACCGTTTCAGGTTAATGACATAGATGACACCATCAAAAGAAATAACAAACACACAAACACAAACACAACACAACACACATCCGAAACCACCCCTCGAAGACGACAGCGTGAAAGACGAAGAACAGGATGAGATACCTGACCGGTGGCAAGTCGCGTTATGAAGATTTCCCCAGAAAGCCGTAAAATTGTCTGAAACCCGAAGATTGAAAATGATGAAATCTTAGACTGTTTCATAATGAAAAAAATGTAAAAAAATGTTGAGAAAATTTAGGAAAATTCCCCACAATCCCCCTTGGTGTTTTGAACAAAATGGTTTGCTTGTTTAATTTCATCCCTGCCCCTGAAACCTTGAATTGAAAATACCCTACCCCAGGGCCCCCCTATTAACTATTTTTGGGGGGGCTCAGCCATTTTTCTTCTTCCGGGTTAGCCTGTAGTGAGCCAGTCCGAGGATTCTAGTCGGACGGCAGGCGAGCACGAACATGCGATTTTCCACAACTGTCCTTTTTGGAACTGGGAGGGGTCCCATATTTGTTCAATCGCCCACATCTCCCGACCCCCAAGTACTGCATGGAGGTTGTGAACCTTGATTGACAGGGACTGCGGAAGTGAGGTACAACCAGTGGATGCAAAATCCATTTCGTACCAGTTTGGGGTGGCTTTATCGCAGTGAACTCGGGTTTCATCCATCCCAGTTGCAGCCATTTTCTGGATGTTGCCAGCCGTGGCCCCTCTAGCGCTCTTTTTTTCGCACCAAAAAACGGGCGCGCCGGCGGTTTTTTTTGTTTCCGCCTGGCGAGCTGTCAGGACTTCTTCCACAAGTTCCTGCCCGGGCTCTCGCAGCACCTGGTAAAGGTCGGGAACTCACGAAGAAGTGTGTTACACAATTTCCAGCCGTCCCGTTCCTATTGTTTTTTGTTGTTGTTGTTTTTTTCCGGGTTTTAGGGTGTAATTAGTGGACTTGACGTCCGAGAAGAGTTGCTTGCCAAAAAAATAATCCGTGCAGTTCCGAGCCGTCGGGTTCCGGTAGATTTTAGGGTTTTGGGGTGTTAGGGTTTTCGGGTGGTAGTTTCCACCAGGCCACTAAAAGTTTGGCTTTTAGCAGGGCATCTGTAGGGAGATGCGCGAGCACATCTGCCAACTTGTTTTCCAATCATTCAAGAATTCCACCCCACACCCGTCACCCGACTCCCACAGCAAGTCACGGGGTATTTAGGAGAGGAGTGACAAACTTGTGTTGTTTCATTTGGTCACTGGGCAAGAATCTGGCAGAATCAACCACTGCCGTTTGCTGTGGCTTTTACTGCATTGCGGCTGGTGCCATAGTAGCAAAGCCTTTCTTTAGACGTCACCTGCAGACACCGCTCACCGGGTTCCCCATATTAGTATCGCAGTTCCTTTTGTAACTTGAAACCATCGCCTTCTAAAGTGAATGTCCCTTGTTGCGGGTTGGTGTTTTCGCTTCATGTCATGTTTTCGCTTCATGTCATGTTTAACTCCCTCTCGTGGACACCAAACGGGGATGGATACTGTTTGTGTTTTCAGACCAGCTAAACATATATGCAGACAATCGAGCAGGAGCTTCGAGATCCCTCGGTGAACCAGCACTTCACGCCGATCATCGAGCACCTGCAGAGGCTGTCAAGCGGGCTGGGCACTTCTAAGCAAAGGGGGGTGTTAGCAAAATCATCATCAGACCCCCCCGCCCCCCCAGCGGTTCCCACAAAATAAGGCCTCAACAAGTAGCGCTGCCGTATTCCAAGGGAGGTTGGATACCCCTTCCAGCTTCCTCTCAAAGTCAAAGCGGTCTTTGATTTCGTATGGGGGCGGCAAAATCCCGACTGGGAAGGGACAACCCATTTGGGCAAGCAAAAGCGATGGACTTGACTTGCCACATACTTTTGTTTGCTGGCGTATTTTTTGGGCCCCTACCGATTCCTCCAAACATGAGTTGACCTCTGGGAGAGAAATTCAGCTAAACGCGCTGGCAAGCAACCAGCAAACTTGAACACAGGTGGCTGCTACAGGTCACAAAGCAGTTAGAGGATACATTGCAGACCCAAAATGAAGATTTGTGTGAAACTTGAGCTTTTGATGGGTGGGGGAACTGAGTGAGCGTGGCTTAATTAGACCATGTGGTAAGCCCCAAGTGTCCACCTTTTCGGGGAGGTGGGCCAGGGTTGCCCGAGACGCAAAACAAAGCCAGAAGCCCAAGGTAGAACATGTTTGGGCCTTCTGTTGCTCCTTTCCCAGGGAGCAAATCTTGAGCGTTGGTTGCAGGGTTCTAGGAACATCCAACGCCCATTCTTTTCGGCGCTCCTCCTTTTCAGAAAACCTACACACAACCCAGAGGAAGCGGATGGTTTTGAAGGAACAATTATTGAGCATGATGGGAGTTTGGAGTGGAATCAACTTTTCAGAAAACCCCTGACCACAAAGCAGCCAGGAAACGCCTGGTTGTTGAACAGTCAACCCAGTAGGCTCTCCGGAGCATTTGCACCAGGGAGTGGGCTGCAGACTTGGAGAAGCACGAGAAGATGGCTGGGCGCCTAGTGACGCGCTTGGACTTGCGGGTTGTTTCCACGTCTTAACAGCTTTCTCGAGGAAGTCAGGCTCGATGTCAGTGGATGGGCGGGGGGAAGCTAATCACCACCCCTGCACTGAGCGTCCTCTGCAGTTGAATGTAGATTTTGAGCACCTCCGCATGCACACGGAAGATTGCGACCGTGATGGAGAGGATACGCTTACTTCTTGAGCAACCCCAAAGGACTGCTGTTCGAACCACTGGGTCCATTAGGGTCCGCTAATTTCCTTTGGGCTTTCCCTTTGCCAGCCAAAAGTGGGTCCGCAAGTTTGCAAAAAACAGAAAAAGGTGCTTTTGAGCAGCGCCCCGAGCGGCTCCATGACCTTTCAACGGTCCGCGGGCTGCGAAAGCCGCGTCTGCGGCGCTTGGGGCAGGCAGCGCACAAGAGCAGGCGTTGACCCTCGTTCTGGAGAATTGTCAATGTCTTAGTTTACTTACAGGTTGACATTGACATTGAAAGGTTTAGGTTTTATTACTCATTCTAGAGTTTGCTTGGTTTATTATTAGTGTACTGAAAGGTTGCTCTGCAATTTCAAGGCTGCGAAAGCGCCGCGAAGGGGTTGATGCAAAACAGGCCGTCGCGAAAGGAAGCGCACATGAGGCACATACGCACGAAAGCTTCGCGAAAGATCGACCAATGGGCACTGTCAGGGTACAGTTTCGACCGGTTGCGAGCAGCGCTCATGTAATATTCCTGAACTTACCTATTTGTGGCTTTGGTTATTTGCAACCCAAACAGCGCATGCAAGGACCCTGGTTTATGAAATCTTTCTTCGGGACCGAACACATTGTTTCACCTTGTTGTGGCTGCCTCTTAAAAGCAGCCCCCCCCTTCAACAGCTGCCTTCAAAAAAGAAACAAACAAACAAGCAAACAGGCACACAGAGGCATCAACAACACACACAAGCACGCAAACACGCAAGCAAACAAAGAATCCATCAAACAAACACAACGACCCACAAGCAAGCAAGCAAGCAAGCAAACAAACAAACACACAAACAAACAAAACAAAACAAACAAACACACAGAGACAAGCAAATACGCAAACACAATTGAGCAAGCAAGGAAGCAAGCAAACGAAAAAAGAAAGAAAAAAAGACAATAAACAAATGCAAAGAGCCTCAAACAAGCATAGACACACAAGCACACAAACATGCAAACAAACAATCAAGCATAAAACACACCAACACAGAGCGATCAAGCAAGCGAGCAAACAAACAGACACAAAACACGCAAACACGCAAACACGCAAGCAGCAAAAAGAACACGCAAGCAAACAAACTAACAAACACACAAGCAGAGCAAGCAAGCAAACAAGCAAACACACCCACACACAAACAAACATTCAAGCAAACAAACAGTCAAACAAGCAATCAAACCCTATAGACTTCCAGTCCATTAATTAAATGACCGGGGTGGCAAAGTACAACATGGAAAAGGCTATTTTTTCATGGTTTGGGAAGGGTGGTCATGTTTCATAAGTTTCACGTCAAATGGCGCCTACAACTGGCTACTTTTATGCAGCATGCTTCGTATACCAGTGCAACAATTGCGAGCACACTAACCTCATGCCAGCCTAATCTGCAACTGCATTCTTTGCACTAGCGGTTGATCGGTGCAATGCGGGCTCCGCGTGAAGCCTTTTTCAAGTGCGAAACAGCGGCTGCGAAACAGATCCACAACGATTGCATGCAAAGAAAACTTGCAAAGGGTGCACCCAAAAAATGTCCATTCCACGGCAATCAATGTCCGTCCTGCGGCAAAACATGCCCGTTCTACGGTTTGTCTACGGTTTGCCAACTAGAGTTCCAACAAAGTGCCGCTCAACAATTTAATCAACATGGTTTGACAAGACATGCATGCCCGTCAGAACCTAGACCCATTCTATCTTTGAGTGGCCCCTGGCTTCCCTATTATATGATTGTGTGGTTTGTGCATGGTTTGTTCATGTCTTCTGCCACAGTTAATTTACAACAACATCTGTCATGTAGTAAATGGGTCGAGGAAGACAAGGGAAGCAAACAACCAAACAAGCAAGCAAACAAACACTTACTCAAACAAACACAAACAAACAAACACACAAGCCAAGAAAGAAAGTAACAAACAAGCTAACAAGCAACAAACACAATAAACCAATCAAATAAGCAAGCGAGCAAGCAAACAAGGAAACAAACAAGCAAACACACAAACAGACACGCAAACGGTCACAGAAAAAGCTATCAAACAAGGCACAAATCAAGCAAACAAACACACAAACGCGCAAACACACACACACACACACAAGCAGACAAAGGCGCAAAATGGCAAACACACACACACACACAGAGCGCACATGAGGGTTGAAAATCAACAGATCGCAAGGGACGATAGTTCTTAAGCAGGCAAATAGTGGGTCCCCACCTGGAAACTCAACCAGTCGTGGGTAGAAAGGTATTGTTGAATCCACCGAACGAACCTTATCCTTCGTGAGACAGGGAGAGCGCCAGACAGGTAAGCTGAAGCCTGGATCAACGAGGGCTTCGGAAAAATCCATGGCGTCACTCCCACACTCCCATTTCTCGGGGCCGTGGAAGCTAACCAGTTTTCCGGCGCCGTTTCTTGCAGGTTTCATGGTGGTGGGAGTGTAAGATAACCGTTAGCTCCTGTTGGACTCGGGGCTGGTTTACGGCCACTTGGACTTAGGCAAACGCTTGAAACTGGCTGTAAGGGGTTTCTTTCATTTACCCTGGATGGTGGTTCTTTCCAAGGGAACCTGAGAGGGCTGTTTTTTCACCCAACCCCGGCGCCGGAAAGCCGTTGGTTTCTCCTCTCGGATTCGGCTTTGCAGGCGAGCCGCCTGAAGGTGGCAGAGAAGGAGCTGGCGCAAGCGTCCAGCCACTTGCAGGAGCTCCGCCCTCAGAGGTTTCCAGCACTCTTTAGCTTTTTGCAAGCCGTCGTGGGATCACTCGAGGTTCATCCAACCACTTCTGTGAGACCAAAGGAATCTTCCCCTCTATAAGGTTAGTCTTAGAAATTCAAGTTTGACCCCCCCCAACACCCAAGGAACAAATCGGGAGGAAGCAATTGGAACAGGGTGTTTGACCATGAGAGCCATTCCGGGACCCGAATCGAAGGTCTTTTCGGGGTTGCTTTTGGGGTTTCTTTTGGTTTGTGGATATTTGTCGGGTTGCACCTCACGGGACAATTCAAAAACATAAATCCAGACCAGACTCTTTGAGAAGAATTCGAAAGTCAATCACTAATGAACCACAAACGCGAGGGCAGAACCCAAGAAATCCTTCGGGCTTAGATGTTTCTAAGTATGCAGCCACTGCAAGGCAAGGGTGCGAAGGCCATTTGGGTAGTTGGGGCCAGACGGGAGCAGGTTTTTTCCCGCTGATGGGCTCTGCCAAAAATGAGGCACCCGGCAAGTCCATCTTTCGGTTGGCCCAGCGGTCCAAGGTTAGAAACTAGATCGGCGGAGTTCAAGGCGCGAGCGCGAGAACGCTGCTTGCTGAAGAATTGCTACTGCTGCCGACGAACTACAGTTGTGCCGGGTGGCAGTTTGGTTTTCTGTATGTACTGCGAGTCTTGGTTATTGTGGACATGGTTTGCTCAGTTGCAGTTTGGGATTCCACCCTAGGCAATGCACGTTTTCCCTTGTGACGGCCCAAGCAAGGCCATTGTGGCAGTGCCAGTCAGAGGCTTTTCATGGGATGGGTTCAATTTGCAGGGTTTCCTCTGATTCTGATCTGCCAAAAGCAGCGGTGGGAACTGTTCGTTCCTTCTGTTGCCAGAGGACCCGAGAGTTATTTGGTGCACGACTTTACCGGGTCAAAGCCAGGTTGGAGGCGAACGAGTTCCCTATGGGTTCCCTGTATTTCCTCTCAAATGGGATGTTCTCGTATCACCTGTTGGCTGTTAAAGTTGTTTTTCCCCATTGGGGTCATGTTCATAGTTGGAAGGCTAGTTTCAAGGGAGTTTCGTTTCAATCAACCCTGCACACCCCAAGGAGCCCCCTCACAAGGTAATTACTGCCAATAGGTCCTCAAGCTTTTCAGAAGGCTCCTGATGCCTTACTCAGGCCTTGGCGGGGGGGTTCGCTAGAGGTGGCCTACTGAGGCCTTATGCATCTCCAGCCGGGTGGGTTTGTCAAAGCCAAGGGGGAGCGTTGATCTCAATCACGGCACATCCCTCCTTTGGTCAGGCCCCTTTCAAAGTGCTTCAATTGATTCTTCTTGGGGCTAAAGCATAACAAAAGAAGAGTTGCGGATCTCTCAACATCAAATTGTGGACCCCCTTCTAGCTGGCGTTTTAGGAGAAGCCAACAGGAAACCAACAGATTTTAAGGGTCCTCCATTTTTGGGAACACCCACTGAAGGCCAAGACAAAAAAGAAAAAGAAAAAACACCCAAAATCCCACATCGGGCATGTCATTCCCTCCCAAAGAGATGCTCATCTAAAATCTCGATGCCCAAAGGCCTGAAACAAGGGTCACCTTAGGCACGCCAGTTGGGATGCAACTTGTGCCAAAAAAAATGGCCGTAAATAGTTTGTCCTTTCCCCTTTTCTGGTGGCTGTCCCCCAAGGAAACTCAAAAAGCTGGCTTTTTTTCCACCCAGCCAGCCAGCAGCGCCCAAGCCATGCATTGGCCCAAAGGGGTCCGCAGGAAGCCGCCGAGGGTCAGATCCTCGCCCTGCGCCAGCGCGCGGAGCGGGCCGAGCAGGACATGGCGCGCTCCGTGGGCGATGTCTCTCGCTTGTGGGGATGTCTGGGGCTTTAAACGGGCGTGGGTCAAAATTACACCACTAGAAAAACCGCAGGTTTTGGTCCATGTTTCCATTTACCAGGGTTTTATTTTTGGTTTTTTGACCCACAGCCAAATGGGTGTGTCTCCAAATAGGAGACCCTCAAAATTGTCCCAAAAGGCGTGATAAAGAGGGGAGAAGTCCAGGGGGTCGTTGTCCATGGCTTGAATCACCAAGTCAACATGGAAGGAACTCGAAGACGGGTCCTTTCCCAACAGGAGGCTCCTCCAAATTTTGGCCTCCCTCGGTACCTTTCAGGGTGGGTGGGCCGGGGGTTGCAACTGGAGAGCTGTCTAAACTAAGCGGCGTGCGCACAGGACGCAAATCCAAAGGGACCGCCTGAAACCCGACAACGCGGACAGGTATGCAGGGGAATATCGGTGCCACGTGTCGGTTGTGGGGTATCGTTTTGAGGGCGCCATACGATTTGACGACTTTTCCCGTGAGGACTTTTCCCTGGCCCCTTGAAAGGCAAGCAAGCACCCTAACACCCACCCCAACCCCCCCACCCCCCAAATATATTCCAACCCTGGACCCACCCTGGACACACCCTAAACCCACCCATGACAGTTCGTAAGTTGAACCCAGCCTACCGCACCCCAAGCTACTTTAAACTCATTCTCAAACAGACAGGACATAAATCCCCACAAACGTCGGACGCAATTCCCTGAAGAAAAAGGCGGCCTCGTTTTAAATGCTTTTTTTTGTCCCATGTTCATTTGCCGCCTACCGCCAGCCAGCGCCATGGTGTTGTTTTTGGTGTTTGTGCCAGGTGCAGCTGCAGTCCGGCGTCCTGGACAAGATCCACAAGGTCCGGCAGAGCCGCGACCTATAATCCACCTATTTGGACAAGCAATTGATGAAAGTAGCCTTTATGACCGATCACAGGGAAGCGGAGGTATCAGCATCTGTTGGAACTACCCGAAACTTCCCCGGAATTAGCTCCCCTTTTTGTGTCTTGCTTTTTTGGGTTCCCTTTGTTTTCCACTAACCAGGAAAAAATATAATTCGCCGCTGGGATCCTCATTCCAGCCTAGAAAACTGGTGCATTTCCCCTATGGCCACTGATCTGGGGGAGGTTCCTCAACCTGCGGATGGTTGCGAAATCCAGAAATCGCACCACGAAATGACACATACCCTGTGTTGGTATTACAAGGATGTCATTCCCAGGGTTTCTTACATGGGGTGAAATGGATTTCGTTCATCCACAGCATTGCTGGGGTCACGTTTTTGGCAAGTGCTTTGTTGCAAGAAAGTTGCTTCCTGTCACCCACCGCTTGAGAGGTGACTTTGGACAAGCTCCACGTCGCACCATTTGGGATGGATGAAACCTCTTTGACTGGGACAAACCCATCTAGCAACTGGTCCGCAACCCGCAGTATGGTGGCCCAGGACCCACCAAAATGAATCAAGGGAGTCGTTTTGCACCTGTTTCTGACGACACCAGCTTTAGGACAGTTCAAGACTAGAATGGCCGAAGCCCCCCAGCATCAGGTTTTAAGCTGACTAAACAGACTGGTTCCTCCGGAAGAACAAAAGACAGAGATCGCCGGTAAATGACATGCCCTGCCGCTTCGACTGAATGGACGTCGAGTAAGACAGGGGTTCGGCAGAGGCTCGCCGTTTTGGGGCCACCAAGTTCTAAGTTTCTCGGCTGTTGGGTGCTCAATCCATCGCTTTAAGTTGCGATCCTTCCAGTTGAGCCCCCCAAAAGCGGGGCACCGGGAGACACCTGGCCAGGCGGCCAGACTCAAAAGAAAGAGCCATCCACCCGAACTCGCAGGCCCCAGCCTTCGTGAGCCTCCGGGAGGAGTACGAGATACTGAAATGCCACTGGGACCGTCAGGCTCCTGCCCGCCGCGGCTAAAGGGTTTGAGTCAAAAACCCATTAACTTTAAGGGATGTTAGGACTTTAACTTGTTGCCAACTAATGGGGTTTTCCACTAAACCATTAAAAGTTAAACTTGGGCAGCAGAAAGCAACCGAGTTAAGGCCTTCCTGGTGATGTCACAAAGTCTGAGCCCAACTTTTGCTCAGCCAAGCTGAGGCGGCCAAGCAAGGCAGTCGGTCGAAGGCGTGGGGGTTCTCTGCCTCGTTTTCTTTAAGGGCGTGGGATAGAACGAGGGGTAGAAGACAACATCACCTCGGTCCGGGTTTCGATACTGAAGCCTTCAAGGAGGGCCATGAGACGCGTGGAGCGAGAGGCAACTAAAGAACACCACCAAAAAGGTGTCCCTTTGCCCACCAGGGTCCATGAACAGCTCGGAGTCCCTTGGTTCTGGCATGGTTCTGGCACTCCGTTGAAGAACCAAAATTTGTCATGATGAGCAAGCCACTTGCGCCACATGCTGCAATTGCAGGATTCGAATATGGGCTTGTCTCGAAACATGATGGTGTTCTTCGGTTTCTCTTCAGGAACAGCCCACAAAGGCTCGGATAAGGGCGATTTCAGCAGAGAAAATTGCATGCCCGAACTTGTTGCTGAGGGAAGCCGCATGTTGCACGGCCCGGTTGGCTGCTCAAAGGGGGTGCACCCGCTAAGGGTCACTCCCTCGGCACCAACAGGCAGATTCCCGAGCCCACGACCACTTCGCGCTCAAAGCTGGCTGGTTTCAGAGCCAATTAAGCAGTATTAGTGTTTAATTGCCCAAACCAAGGTTTCATACCTTCATACCAGGCCTTCAGATATGAGCATGCCCCACACCTGACAGGCAATAACCCCCCCTCCATGTGGCTGGAGAGGCGCCTAAACAGATTCTATCTCCTGCCCGTTTTCCAGCGTCCTGGAACCGTTTGCCCATGTTTAAGGCCCGAATTTTCAGCAAGCTGCGCCCAAGGCGAGTTGGAAGAGTCCACCAAGCAGCTGGAAGTGCTCCGGACCGCGGCTGTCCCAGTGTCGAACACATGTCAAGCCTCAGCAATGCCAGGGGGCATGGGACGAGCAGTGGGCAGATCATAAGCCCAGTGATTCAAGGAAACGAGCGAAAAACGAAGTGAATGTTCTTTGTCAGGGGATTCCTTAGTTCCAGTTGAGTCACCACAATTTGCCCAGATTCCAAGTTGTTGGGTCCCAAAATCAAGACTGCTGATGAGGGAATGGGACTTGGACGCCAGGGGCATCGCATCCATACTTCATGTCACAAGGCTTTCATGAAGACATCAGCCCCGGAAATTGGGGGTAGGGCAGCATAGGGCCACAGCCCCTTTCCCAAGTCACTACTCAGGGGCTAACAAAGTGCCTTATGAAGCCACACTGAGACCAACTAAGGCCTCAACGATTGTGTCCGGACACGCACCGCGACGCGAACTAAGGCAACCAACCTACAAAGAGCGAAATACCAATGACGTTGACAGGTGCGCGCTTTTGCAGGGCTCCTTAAAAGATACATTTTGCCCATCTGAAACATGGCTTTTCCGCCAAAATACCAGGAAATCACAATTTACAAGGCAATGTCTATAATGCATCCGGATCCCTGTTTTGGCCTCGGGTGAAGCTGGTTGCGTGCCAAGGCCTTGTCGAGGAAGGACGAGGACAAGGCAGGGCAGTCTGTTGCAGTCGATTTTGGTCTAGCCGAAGGTTGACCCCATATCAACCCCTGTTTATTCAAGATGGGGGAGGAGGCACCTCCAAAAGTCTGATTCCCCACCAAGTCCCAGGGATACCCCCCCCCCCGGGCCTAAAACTAAATAGTACGGGGCCTTCATTTCCAAGTGGGGCGGGGGCGGGGGGGTTTAAATGGCAAACGGTACGCTCGTGTGAGGTAATGTGAACAAAGTGAATATACACCCCTGCCCTTCCGGGCCTGCGGCCGCCCATGAGGCGTTTTGGCAAAGGGGGGAGGTTGTGACCAAGCCATGGTGGTTGGTTTGGTTGTTGAACACGGGTCGCACGGGAGATGGAACCCAGCTACATTTACATGCGTGGCCGTTTTTTTTTCACAAAGCTCTGAGGCAGCGGATGGAAGTTGATGGCACATAGCCAACAGGTTTTGGTTTCCCGGTGATTTGGGTGGGGCAAGATCAGACCTCGTTTACAGCCATGGTTGAAAGCACTCACATGTTGCCCAATTGCCTCCATTTGCTTAATATGTGTTATGTTCCCCTATTGGCTTCAGAGTGAAGGGAACCTACCACTACCGGACACAGTTCTTATTTTTGTCCAGGAAAATACCCTCCCCCCATAGCGCCTGTGAAGATCTGCTTCCGCAAGGAAGCCTCGTTGAGGTGCGATTGGTGCGATAGTCGGGGGTTCTCTGCAAACGTCTATTTGCTTAGGAATATGCTTTATTTCCACTTGTTGGTTTTGAAGGGAATCTATCACTACTGGAAATATTGTTAATTTTCCCCAGGGGCTTAGGCAACTGGAAACAAATGGAGGGTGAAGGTCCCCTGTTTCAGCCTCGAGGCTCACCTGCAGGGCCTGCTGGAGGATGCTGAAAAATTGGGCCAAGACCAGAGGGGCCCAGGAAAAACCCGCGCCAGGGACGCGAACAAAATGTTTGCAGCTGAGACCTTACCCTCAACTGGTTTGGATTGGTGCTTAGGGGGGTTGAGCCCTTTCCTTTTGCACCTGGGAGACGTCCAACTGTTGAAAGCACCAATAAATGCGCAGGGTGGAGCCAACATTTCGCCAAATCAAGAGTTGATCAATCTTTCCGGGTGGTGATTAGATTTCGGTTGTGAGGTAGTTGCACAAAAATTTAAAGTCATCAGACGACTTGTGGATGTGTGTGCGTGTGCGTATGAAGCCCCCCACAAGATGTCCTGGCTGCAAAACGACCCAGAATTTCTGCTTTACCCAAAGGACAACTAAGGAGACTTAATTCTCAGTTGCCCAGTGGTGCCCTTTTGTCCTTTCTTCTTTTTTTTGGGGAAGAGTTCCCACTTAAAGTCAACCAACAATGGGATGCCGATTCTTATGTCCCCATGGCCACTGGGCATCTGAGAATTGGGCATTATTTGTTCCAGGCCCTGCAACTTTTTGAAGGGTCCAGCACGCCTCCTCTTACTCAAGCCCGGCGTTGCCGCCATGTGGCATGAACTGGAACCCAGGATCCTGAAGGGGGATGGATACGTGTGGTGCTTCATGTTTTTTCCCCTAGGTCGTGTAACATCACCTTTTGGAGTTAAACATTGCCTCGCAATTGGTCACTGACCTCGTTTTGTAGTCTCAGGTGTACGTTGTTTAGGTGGCGAAGACTGCTTCAGGCGCAGTAAAATCGGGACATTGAGGAAGCCTTTCCAGGAGAAGGAGGCGCAGGTGCTGAAATTGCAAGAGGAGGTACAAGAGGTGTCGGCCCCAGCGGTTGCTTTTGTGCCCGACCACGTTCGCAGGACGTTGTTTCTCTCCAAGAGCCGCAAAATCTTTGCGTTTTGTGCCTGGGCCCAGACCAGTGCTGGTTTGTTTTGCCCCAAAAGCTGAAAGCTGTGGGGCCTTTGCCAAATTACGATCTGCTGTGGTTCGGGGCAGCTTTCAGGGTCCAGCTGGGCTCTGCTTTTAGCGTTCCCTTTTCAGCGACAGGGTCAACCCGCCAATCCTTTGGGGCGGTGTTGGGGCAGGTTCCTGGAGGGGTTCCAGCAAGGTGCTGGCGTCTGCTGAATATACTCCGTCAGCTTATTTGTGTTTGCTGATTCTTTTCAGGGTAAACTAGTCAAGGGTCATTGTGAATTCAGACAACCGCCCATGTGCGCACGAATGACTCATATTGAGCCATGAGCCATGGTTGCTGACTAGCATGCTCTGGATTCGTCCGAAACTTCTTCCCTGAGATAAATTTATGATGGGACTTCATGACAAAGCGAGGCACGAAATAAGAAAACAGCATAAGGACAACTTATTAAGTTGAAGAAACAAAAGCAGAAGAACCAAAGACCGAAGACAAAGCGCATGTATCATGAGGGCTGGGGGTGGGGGGGAGGCAGCCGAAACAAGCCCCCAAATCAGGCTCCCAAATAGGGGCTATTTGGGCTTATTTGAGCAGCAAAGAGCTGTAAACAGACCAAAACACCACGTGTAGACCGCAGAAAGAGCGCACCCCCGGGCCAAGGCTTGTCCCATCGTTTTTTAGGGCTTCGCCCCCCTCGGTGGCAGGTGGCCGGCAGCCAGCTTCACCCCAGCAAGGCCGGAAGAAGCCCCACTTCCACGTTGAAGGCGTCGATTTAACCGGAAAAAATCAAACGTTATGGTCCTGGTCGTTTTGTTTTTTTGATGGGTTTCATATTTGGTGGCGGTTTCTATGGGATGTGTTTGTTTTCAGGTTTCTCCGAGTTCATGGACTTAGTTTGTGGGTTTGGACAATTTTGGTGGAAAGCAAACAAAGTTCCCGGACGTTGGCCAGTCCACTTATATGAGATGTGAGACTATGAACATAGAAGCTAGCGGATTATGTTTTAAAGGAGCATCGGTTGGACTCTCTTTTTGGGGCTCCATGTTAGGTTGTGGGGGGTGGGGCACGGGATTCCGCAGGATACCCTCAATAAATGCACCCTATTGACAGGCATTTCTTTCCCGGACGACAAATCTCCCAATACTAAATTGGAATTACCTAATACTAAGCCAATTCTAAACCAACAGCATTCCCTCCCGACTCCAGTCTTTTTAGGTGGCGTTTTAGAACCAACACGAAACCAATACTGAAACAATACTAAACCAAAACTGCACGATCTTAAACCAATTCGAAACCCAGCAAAATGTTTGAGATGTCTGTGGTTTGAATTCCTTACTCGAAAAACTAGAATTTTGAAAGACCCCATTTGGACGAGGACTGTAGCGGAACCTCCCTGGCGCAGAAATGGACCTTATTAATATTATTCTTCCGGCCCCAGGCGAATGTATTTATTGGGGTCGGAGGCGAAGAAGTGTGAAAACTGGGGGAAATAGGGGAAACTGGGGGGGGGGAACAGGAGGGGCCCGCACTCACTCATTTCCCTCAAAAAAAAACAGCTTCTTTTGCCGCCTGTGATGCAGGTTGCGCAGCTGTGCGCTGAGCTGAAGCAAGTGAAGCACGAGTGCCAGGCCAATCAACTCGATCGGTGGGCTCAAGGGTAGCACCTCAAAGCTTGGACTAAACATAATTAGTTGACGGGCCTCAATCCAACCAGGGGTGTCGTTTGTTTTGTTTCAAAAACCCAAACGGACAACCGAAGCCAGTTTCATTTTGGAGAGGTCCCCTAAAAACACAGACACTCATCTATGTAAATGATGTCGGACCCAACACCTGGACGATTCAGCCAGGTGATTATTTGGGTCCCATGGTGTCCCTCCAGAATGCGACCCCCTTTGATTTTTTCTCAAGGGGGTCACTGGGAGTTGCTTGCCCCCTTTTGGTTGGTAATTGAAGGACAACCAACAAGAACTTCACCATTTAGAGGGAGCGCATTTTGGGAAACACCGATTAATCTTTTCCCATGCCCATTCTTTGCGCACCTTCTAAGCCATCGAGCCTGAGAGAATGCCTTTGCATCGCGGCCAGGCGCTGACCAATTCCAACAACTTCCTCAGGAGCGCTGTGGAAACTCTGCAGCAAAAGTGGCGCCCTCGGAAGTATGTCTGCCTTTATGGCCGCTGAGCGACCGCTCAGCGGCTCAGAAGCCTTGGCTAGGGAGCAAGGTCTTGATTGACTCATGGCTTGAAAACTCAATTGGGCCCCCCCCCAGTTGGATTTCCTTTTGGCTTCCCTCAAGGCCAGTTGCGTCTGCCAGATGCTGTCCCTTTATCACAGCCGCGGGCTCGGCGCTGCCAAAGCGCACGCCAAAGAAAGGCACCCGCCACATGACCCCAGGCTAAAGAACATAGATTCAATCGTGGAAATATTTGGGGGTGCAGCTCCCCCCAAACCAAACACATCAAGATGCCAGACCCTCTTGGCGGCTCAAAGCCACCCCCCTTTGTCCAAGCGCGCACGTACAAAGCAGACGCCCGGCCCTTCGCAATGGACGGCGAGAAGCTTCGGCACCAAAGGAGGGCCATAGTGGGGCCTTTAGTCTTCACCTCCGATTTCGACACTCGGACGCCACGATTTGGAGCTTGTCAGGCAAGCCTGCAGGGGTTTGTGTGACTTCTCTTCGGATATAGGTCCATCCCGGCCAAGAGGCAAATCAACTTTGGGAGAATGCTCGACAAGGGCAGGTGCAAAGTTGATCTCCGTTTGGGTATGTGTCAAAATCGGGCCCTGCCAAAAAATCGGACAAACACAATCTACAGCTTCCCTTTGGTTTTCGTTTAGGCCAGCGTCAAAAGGGTACTCTCGAAAAGAACGCGCCTAGGACAGTGGAAACATGGGCAAAGTCGAGTTGATCGATGGCGAAGACTTGGAGTTTGCCATCGATGTCGCACCCGACTGCGCTGAGACAGTCTATGAGAACCTCGCACGGAAAGACGGCCTACCCTCGGGTCCACTAGCACGGACCCCACCAGAAAGCCGCTTTTAAAGGAAGATTGTCTTCAGGACCCCCTTGTGAGGTTCCAAGTTTGTGGATGTTTTAGTTTGAGAGCCGTGCCAAGTGGCATAGTTTGAATTTCCCCAGGAAGCCAACGGAAGTTCCAAGAACCTCCTATGTGTTGCACCCATTTGCACCCAAGGAGTTGATTTGCTTTAAGCCCACCCCAACTACCTCCTATCACGACCCAACACCAACCCTAAACCCACCCCAATCTCATCCCCAAAACCCTGTACCATCCCTAAAGCGACTACACTTGGATTGAGAAACGGTACAAGAAGCCCCAACCACCCAAGGTTCAAGAGCCAAGAATCCTTCCTGGATCTTCCTCGCTTGGGATCCCTTGCAGTGCCATTTCGGAGTGAGGAACGGGCTCGTTTCGGGGCGACTTTTCCGTGATACAAGTTTCGCAGGGGGTGCCCTTCAAAGCGAGAAAGCCGGGTCATTCGCAACTTGGTATCGCACAGGACTGGTGGTGTCCCGCAAATAAGTGAGGAACGGGTACAAGAACCTATCCAACCCCCCCCCCCCAAAAAAAAAAAAAAAGTTGCGGGTTTTGTCCCTGTTGGGTTAGATGCTAAAGAGCCATCGGAATGACCGACTTACAATATGATTTTCCAAGCCCCCCCCCCCCCCCTCGAATGGTCTGTACAAGACCCCAGCAGACTCCTTGAGTCTTTGGTGCTTTTGATCTTTGGTGCTTTTGATCTTTTCTCTACTGCTATTGGGTTGGATCTTCAGACTTCAACTTGTTGGATTCCCCTCATATTTCCTTTCAACCAGCTAACAAAAGTTCAACTACAAAAGTTCAACTTTCTGCTGGGGGATCTACAGCACCCAAGTTTGACTCCCCCACCCCCCCAAATGCCATGTACAAGAACCCAGCAGACTCCTTGTGCCTTTGGTGCTTTCGGTTCTTTTGCGCTGCGCCTTTTAACCAGGCAAAAACCAAAAAAGGTCACCTTTTTTGCCGGAAAGTCTACAGCACCCAAGAATTTTGCGCTGAGGAACGGGTACCGAACCTGGTTCTTCTTCGGGCTCTCCGTGGCGGAGCCTGTGGAACTCCTCCCCGACCGCCGCCGACTCCCCGAAGCGCCGGAGCCACCGGGCACGGTGCCCGAGGCGCCGGAAGCGCCCGAAGCGGCGGAAGCGGAGCCGGCGCCGGCGGAAGCGGCGGAGCCGAAGCTGCCGGAAGTGCCGGGAGAGATCTCGGTGGTGCTGACGGCGCCTGGGCGGATAGATCTGGCTGCCCCCAGCTAGGTGCCCTTTACTTGGCGGAGATCGAAGCTAGGTCCCCAGCTAGGTCCCATGCTCACCCCCTTTTTTTGGTTGGGAGTTCCCCTACGAAAATAAAGTGCAGAAAAACAAGGGTACCCTTATTCCAACCTCTCTACTGGAGGCCTAGTCGATCTGGCTGCCTGACAGCTGAGTGAAAGATGGCACCAACTCGACTTCTCTCCGCTTATGGGCATGAAGGAGCCAGCGCCATGTTACTTTCACCCAAGTGCTGCGCCGGTGGAAGTCAGTGGAAGTCGGAAACCCACGGATTGGACCCAGAAACTCAAGGGGCATCAAACCCTTTGGGTCCGTCTGTCCGACTCTTGGCATCGCAGCCAGCCTGCCATGAGCCCAATGTGCAGGAAACCATGCGGGCCCAAAAGCTTACCCCCGAAGTGCCTGGGAACCACACGGATAGCCCTGCATCTTGTGTTTGTTTATTTGTTTGCTTGCTTGCTTGCTTGCTTGCTTGCTTGCTTGTTTGTTTGTTTGTTTGTTTGTTTCTTTCCGACAAGCAAGCCTGGATGGAAAGAAAGTCCCAAGCTGTTCCAAGTTGCGGAACATGAACAATCAGAGCAAGCTCTACGGCGACGGGTACCGTCCCTGGTGCAAAGCTCCCGGCGACAGCTGGCGCAGGTGTCAGGCTGGATGAAGGAAAAAGCACATGGGCGGGAGGGCGTTTCTCTGTGGCGTGTGTGTGTGTGTGTCAACTTCGGGGCGGGGGACACCTAAGGTGCCCATGCACATGAGCCACAATCACAACCTGCTTAGCTTCAGTTTAGTAGGCAATCCCAACCGCAAATGGGTGCGGCCTCTCCTTTTACTCTTTATGTGCTTTCGGGTATTCCCCTTTAACCCCACATGATTTGATTAGGACTCACATGGTTCACAGGTCAAAAAATCGGTCGGGGAGCCAAGAGACTCTCTGCACTCTAGTTCCATGTCCAAGGAGGGAGCACATTTGTTGCCTGGCTCATATGGGACTGGGGTCCCATGCCTGTCCGAATCTGCTCTCCAAACGGTTCATTCCCACCCGGTCTCGGTCATTCCATGGTGTTCCCTTTGGCTTCTGAACATGCCACAAGGACGCCCTCCGAAAAGAAGCTCTAACACCCAGATCGATTCCCGAAAAAGGGGAAGCCACAGGCTGTCCTTTCTCTCTCTTTTTTTTGGGGGGAGCTTAGTTTCCAGGGTTGAGAGCCCATCTCGCAGAAAACTTTCACTGGACCCGAATGTAGCTTTTACACGTTTTGAAGGATCCCCTAACACAACAACGACACACCTTGGTTGTAGTGCCCGGGTGCGTTTGTTTGCTGGGTGTCTTTGTTTTTTTTCCAAAAAGGGGTAAAGAGAAACATTAAACCCATTCCATGCGATTTTCCATGTGCAGGCAGAGGCTACTAAGGTGCTCCAACCGATTCATTGTGGGGACGGGATCAAAAATCCCAGCTGCCTGAGTTGGGTGTCTCAAAAGGGTCTCAAAAGCTGGGCCCCTACAAGCGGGTTATCAAGCTTCCGTTTGGCTTTTCCTTAGCAGACCCTGGGCAGAGTAGGTTGCAAAGGCACGCCCAAAGTTGCAGGATTCACCGGCCCTCGACTTCGCCATTGTCCGGGAGGGCGAGAGCTTCGGCATCCGCTGGAGGCACATGGCAAGGACCCGCTGCGCGAATTGGCGCCAACAAGGTTCCAGGTTTTACCTAGTCGAATCATTCCAGGGTTCTCTAGGTGGTGCGCAATGGATTTCATCCATCCACAATCCACACTAGTCCATGGTCAGGGCGTTTGGGCAATGTGCGTGCAGGTCCATGTCTTCTTGGGCGGCGATTTGTTTGGTTTCGGGGTGCTGTCGGCTTCACGATCCAGCGGGAAGGCTGCGAAAGAAGCTTGTTTTGCACCTGAGGGTTGCGAAAATGCAACATCTTCCGGTCAACGTGCATGGCTTTCTTGTAGTCACTTGCCCAGTGGTGCCCTTTCTTCAACTGGTTTTGGGAAGGGTTCCCTGTTAAAGTCGACCAACCGGAAAAGGATGCCCTTCTTTTTTGCCCTGGCCACTGGGCATCTGAAGTGTAGTCACTTGCCAGGCAGCTGAGTATGTGTTCTGTGTTGCCTTGAAGGCATTTATGGCCAACCCCCCGCCCCCCTTGCGGAAGTGTAGATCTTTTTTTTTGGGAGGGGGTATGGGACCCAAACCGGCCATCCAAGGGATTCTTTGCACATGCACCCTGCGAGAGAAGACTAGGTCCCGAAGAGCCAAGCTTCTTTGGGTACATTGGCAGCCGTTTTCCTTGTACTTTCTTCCAGGCAAGAGGGTGTCCAATTTCGATTTTTCAGCCAAAAGCATTTGCAGACCGGGACTCAGAGGTTTTACAGCTGGGTGAAAGTAGACACAATTTCTTTGTTGCAGCTTAGCCACCCGCTTACCCACAAGGGAATTATGCCATGTACTTGAGTGTGTCGCTTTTTGAAGGTACCCCTTTGGTTCCAAAGGGGGACCAAAAGAGAAATCTCAATTTTCTGGGGACTGATTCCTACTTTGAGACATTTTCACTTTCACTTTGAATCTCTCGACTCATGGCGCATCCCCTTCTTCAGGAGGGGCTCCGGTACCACCTACTACGCCTTTTGCGCGCCCCACGCGTACCAGGAGAATTTGGACCTCATAGAGGCGGGACCCGTGCAATGAGTGGGCACATAGGGGAAACACCCCCCCCCTCCCCGAAAACAAAAGAAGCGCACAGGTGTGGTGTTTCCCCTTAGTGTTTCCGTGTGGTTTCTTGGTATGTCCCGAAAACCATCCCCGAAAAGGGCGCC